GTCAGTACTGACAGAGTGTCTTTGAGTGTCCAACTCCTCAGTAGCGAGTGTGTCCACCTCTTGCAGCGATACATGCTGCCACACGACGTCGTGCAGAGTGCACAAGACGTCTGATCACGTGATGTGGGATGCGACGCCATTCTTCCTGTAGAGCTTGAGCCAAAGCGTTTCTTGTCTGTGGGGGATGTTGACGTTGCTTAACCTGACGGCCGAGATGATCCCATTTTTTAGGTGCTCAATAGGTGATAAATCGGGGGATCTTGCTGGCCAAGGAATGACGTTTACGTTGTTGTTGTTCAGGAAGTTCCGGGTAACAACAGCAGTGTGGGGAGTAGCGTTATCCTGCTGAAACAACACGCCTCGATTCTGCTGGAGGAAGGGTAACACGACAGGTCGTAAAACAACATCAATGTATCGACGGGCATTCAGGTTTCCTCTCTATCACCAACAAGTCAGTCTTCCTCTCGCCACAAATTCCCCACACCATCACACTACCGCCGCCAAACGTCTCAACTTCCTGAACGCAACAACGTGCTGTGCGTTCGTTCCGACGTCTGTAGACTCGTACCCGACCATCAGCTTTGTTCAACTGGAAGCGGCTCTCGTCACTGAAGAGTACCCGGCGCCAGTTCCGCGGCTGCCACTGCCGAACTCTACGTGCCCAAGCCAATCGACGACGTCGATGTTCACGCGTTAACGTCACGCCCGGAATGGTCTGTAGGCTCCTGATACCGAATCGGCGGAGTCGTCTGGATATGGTCCTTCTACTGACTGGATGGGTAAGGCTGGTTGTTGCTGATGACGTCACAGTCAGGAATCTGTTGCGCAAGTGAAGCACCCGTAAATGGCGGTCTTCCTGAGGGGTGGTTACGGGTGGTCTCCCTGTCCTAGGCCTGTCTGCAGTCCGACCTGTTGTTCTGAAGCGTGTCATCAGTCTGGTGATGGTTTTCTTGCTGCAACCCATGATTCTTGCAACGTGACTGTGAGAAGCACCCAGCTGCAACATCCCAATAGCTCGTTCTCTCTGTTCTGCCGTGAGTCGAGGCATGTTCTTTGTGTCCAACGTATTGAAGTGATGAATTCGAACAGTCGAGCATAATTTTTATACTGTACTTTCATACGGGTATGTTTCCACAGAAGCATGCAAAAAACGTGAATAAAAGCAATTTTCATGCTTACAAAAAACTCCACGTGGATTTCCTTTCTGTGAGACGTGGGATGCGTTCGGGAGATGTGTTCCTAAATAAATTTCCGTCATAACGAAAACAGAAGAACTGTTTTTTACAATTTTACTTTGGGGACGTTTCTTTTGCCCCTCAGTTTATCTTCCATGAAGCGAATATCAAATATATCTATCTTTCCTAAAAAGACCTATAAATCTTTTTATATCCACATTGTTGTCTGGACAACACATGCCACTTAATAAACTCTTTAAAAAAGTTTGGGAACTCCAGTTTTAATTTACGATTGAAAAGAATGAGTGATACATGTATATCGGTATCAGTCAATGTCGATACGATAATTATGAATGTTTTGAAGAGTGCATCACCACTTGCACTTCCTTATGGCCATAGTTGTTTGTACAGTAATCGTTCTTGAAAGATGATTGGTTAGTACTATTTTCATTTTCAAACAAACATAAAACGGCTAGAAACAAACACTAATTATAACAACTGCGTGATGCAAAATGATTGTCAAAATTAGTGGTCTACAGTGATTTATCGACCTTGAAAACCGTCAAAATCAAGAATGACACCCCATGCACGTGGATGGGGCTACTGCGGTTGCACGTGCATCCCATGCGTTGTATTTAGGGGTGGTGATAAAGAGAAATGTTGGTGCGTTCATAAGATGTCTGTCTTTGAAAAGTTTGTTAACGCTTATACTTCCTATCCAAATTGAAAGTTCAGTTTCACCTTCTTTTTTAAGAGTATATATGTAGTTCCAGGTCGGCAGTGTAATGAAGTGAGTGAGTGAGTAAATGAGGTTTTACGCAGCGTTTAGCAATATTCCAGCAACATCACAGCGGGGGACACAAGAAATAGGCTTCACACATAGTACCCATGTGGGGAATCGAACCCGTGTCTTCAGCGTGACGAGCGAACGCTTTAACGACTAGGCTACCCCACCGTCCCAGTGTAATGAAGGGATGAGCCACGTTGAAATTGACTATGCCATGTCGGCATTGTGAAGGACTTTGCGCTTTACATTTCGTATGATGGATTGGATTTTACCAAGAAGTTGAAATAATTAAAACGTATTGTTCCAAAACACTTTTATTTACATCGATATGTATTGTACAGTAGAAATCATATTGCGATAAAATGATTAACAGAAATATCGTTTTACACTGATTGTAGTGTGAATGCGTATGGTTTTACGCCGCTTTTAGCAATATTTCAGCAATATCACGGCGGGGAACACTAGAAATGGGCTTCACACATTGTACCTTTGAGGGGAATTAAATCCGGGTCTTTGGCGTGACGCTTTAACCACTGGGCCACCGATCCATACAGTAATAGAAAGGTTTGGTGAAGTATGATAAACGTTACATTACAAATACGTTCCTGGTCTCTCAGAGTGACAAAGCGTTCTGTGATTTGATGGTATTCTCAGGAACAAGTGACTTGTTCACAAACGGACGGAAGGGCAGATCACGGAACTGTATACAAGGAGCAATGTGTATCCTCACTAAGAGGAGCATAACCAAACGGAGACCATTATCACATTAAATGAATCCAAATAACTCACAACATTTCAGTTAATACATGAATGACACAGACATAGCTATTAACGTTGATACAGTGGAACGTCGTCAGTCCGGAAAACCCTAAATACAGGCAGATTACCATACTCTTTTATTACATATACAAACGAACATTTTTCCGTACACAAATCCCCTTATTAGTTAAGATCCGGATTAGAGATGATCTCATGTTTGTGGTATAAGGGGCGACTAACATGATCGGATGGTCTGAATGGCAGACTTGGTTGATGCATGCCATGGATATCTGACTGACTGGCTGAGTTTTGGTTTTACGCCGCTTTTAGCAATATTCCAGCAACATCACGGCGGGGGACACCAGAAATGGGCTTCACACATTGTACCCATGTGGGGATTCGAACCCGGGTCTTCGGCGTGACGAGCCAACGCTTTAACCACTTGGCTACCCCACCGCCCCTGTCATGTATATCCATTGTGTTGATCGATACACATGTTTGTTTGCTGTTTAACGCCGTACTACATGACCACGGTGTATAAATAATCGAGTTTGGACCAGACAATGCAGTGACTGGCATCATGCGCATCGATCTACTGATGCAAATGACGTCAATCAAGGGATTGTTTGGTCCAAACTCGTTCATTTACAGACGGCAGTCATATGACTTGTATATTACTACGTGCTGTGTTAAACAAGAAACAAACAAACAAAATAAGGACGATTTCCGGAATGACGGAGTGACAACGTAGATAAGTGCATAATACACGAATAACACATCAAAATTGATATTGACAAACAATATATCGCGATTAATGTACCATGATGAGATATGTCAGAAATGTAAACAAAAACCAGGGTACCTACTTTGATAATTTTATCACGTACATAAACATTATCAAAACATTATCATGTTTACTAAAACAAATACCAGTGCTTGTCTTTTAGCTCTGATACCAGTTAACACAGATTCATATCAAAGCACATACATGAATAAGGATAACGGGGACGGATAGATTCTTTTTGTTTAAGTAATCCTCTGTGAAGTGTCTAACTTCTCGGGAAAATAAGAGATGAACTTATTAAGCCGTTATTTACAGTATTTCAATTTCATGACAGCGTGTTCGTAAAATGTGGAAGGAAATCACAAAGTCCGCATGTCATTGAAATCTTCGACTTTGAAGAAACATACGATCACGGAATGTACAACGAATGTGCAAATACGAGATTCGAACCCACGATTCTTGCACGGCTGACTGCGAGATACTGCGGCACCCATGTCGCCGATTATACAAACAATGCACTGAGAAAAAATACTACCTGCATTGTGCTAGTGAATGTCGGGCACCTGCCCTGGGCCTCCAAAGCAAGATGTGAAGTCAGGTGCAATCACCTCCCGTTCAAAGTATATTGCACTTTTCTGTAAGGTGTATGACAATATGTTTGCCTGTTTGTATTAGTCACGGTAACAGGACCCGTGATGATACCGGTTAGAATTGGTCTTCAGCAACCCATGCTTGTCGTGAGAGGCGACTAACGGGATCGGGTGGTCAGGCTCGCTGACTTGGTTGTCGCACCTCATCGTATCCCAATTGCGTAGATCGATGCTCATGCTGTTGATCACTAGATTGTCTGGTGAGTGAGTTTTGGTTTTACGCCGCTTCTAGCAATATTCCAGCAATATCACGGCGGGGAAACCAGAAATGGGCTTCACACATTGTACCCATGTGGGGAATCGAACCCGGTTTTCGGCGTGACGACCGAACTCTTTAACCACTAGGCTACCCCACCGCCCGGATTGACTAGTTTGGACTCGATTATTTACAGACCGCCGCCATATAGCTGGAATATTACTGAGTACAGCTTTAAACAACCAACCAACCGGGTAACAGCGCCGACCCACGGAGATACCATGGCCGTCTAAACAGGATATCCCATGGCAGTTCATGGTTTATCCCAGTGCCAGGTAGGGCACAACAAGTACCACAGGTTACCGTTTTGGCCTGGCCAGGGAATTAAATCACAGACCTTTAAATACGATCTGAGCCAGAGGTTCCGAGTATGAGAAGTTAACATTACTTTACTCCTCATCAAGATCTTACGGAGATTCTGTTAAGGAGTAACTGTAAGTATATGCCGTTATACGATGACTGAGTGATGCACCCACTTTAGTACAGATCTATCAGTAATGGACTTCACACACTACCTAGAGGCAAACAGGATCTTCCCTATAGCCAGCGACCACTACAACTGCTGGGCTAATGCCACACATATATGAAAGACGTTATGTAGACAGTTTTACACAGAAAAACATATACACGTGATATCAACATTTTTACAGAGGAATAACAACAAATGGATTTCAACAAATTGACAAAACATGATAAAAGCATCAGGTATGAAAGTATTGACCTAGTCTCTTTAACAACTCTCGGACACTCTGGGCACCTTGCAATCTGAACACACGCCTCATACTTGGGATCACTGGCCTTCATTACATCAACTGGTGAACTCAAGTGCAGGCAACCCAAATGTATGTTTACAAATTGATGGTAATTAAGTTCTGCTAGGCACCTTGTACTGAAAATATCAGTGGTAATCTTGAACTTAGTTCCCTCCGATCAGCTCGTGTATGCTTTAGGAACTGCAATGATGGAATCTGCTTCTGAAAAATATTACCAATTCATTCAATCTATATGCATTTGAATTTCTAAATTTAAAAAATATATGCATATCTCAAACGGACATTTATAACCAATGATGGTAGGCATCAGATACGTGGAGATTTTCTTTGCTTACAATAGTGACGATTGGGGCAGCTTACCTGTGTGCAGTGAAAGGCTATAGATTCAAGGGCGATAACTTTTGACTACATCTTCGTTTGTTGTCTCAAACATTTTCTTCAGACACAGCAGTACTAATAGACGGATGAATAAATTTGTGATAGCATAATACTTCTTCATAACAAACAGGGACAGGGGTTATAATCAGCCTCTATACTAGTCTTGTTAAAAAGAAACCATGTTCATAATCGAACTTACCATTTTCGTGTAAAATGTGATCGAGAATCATTCCAACAAACGTCCTCTGCTTACTGTCGTCACTGGATCTGGGGTATACGTCGAAAGTCCTGTGGACAAATAGAAAGGTAATGCAGCATGTAAAGCAAGACTAAATCATAGGACAAATTCTTGTCCTCATGACACCCTGAAAACCTATTGTATGTACACGTAAAGCTATCCCTGTATGAATACGTGAAGGTAAGCTGTATGTACATGTGAAGGTATTCCTGTATGTACATGTGAAGGTAAGCTGTATGTACATGTGAAGGTATTCCTGTATGTGCATGTGAAGGTATTCCTGTATGTACATGTGAAGGTATTCCTGGATGTGCATGTGAAGGTATTCCTGTATGTACATGTGAAGGTATTCCTGTATGTACATGTGAAGGTAAGCTGTATGTACATGTGAAGGTACTCCTGTATGTATATGTAAAGGTAAGCTGTATGTACATGTGAAGGTAACCCTGTATGTATAATTATCGATCCAACATACAAAACGTACCACCCTATGTGGTAGCCACACCGGGGACACAGCGAGATCGTCCACGTGTAACCGGGAAACCAGCTGTCTTCCACGTAAGCCTGCAAACACACAAGACGCTAGGACTAAAATATTCGATCGAACTATTTTATCGTGCCATTCAAGAAACAAATCAAACTGTACTAGTGTCTGCATGATCCCATAGAATAAATATATGTAGTAGGCCGGACTGAAAAAATAAATTTAATGCCGATTTTACAGTATTGGCCACTGTGACACCAAGACAAGGGCATCCAGCTGTCTTATCGCATTAATACCTAAGAACAAGTACCCAGGGATCGAACCACAGAGCCGTTCAGGGGCAGTTTGGTAGCCTCGTGGTTAAAGCGTTCTTCCGTCGCGCTGAAGACCCGGTTCGATTCCCCACAGGGGTACAATGCGTAAAGCCCATTTCCAGTCTCTCCTCGCCGTGATATTGCTGGGATATAGCTATAAGCTGCGTGATATTGCTGGTCACTCACTCACAGAGTCTTTCGCGTTCCCTCTATAACTACACCACGGAGGCAGACCTTACATCACCGGGGAACGAGAAGCCCTTCATTTGAACAGGTGCAGGTTAATAACATCACCGAAACAGACTCATTCAACTAAACTGTCAAGAGAGACATGTGGAATCATCTCAAGAGTGATACGAAGATTGACACATCGCGTTCCCCTGCCGAGCGTCCACACATACATCCAAGCCACCCTATGGACGGACGTCACTGAGACAGGCGCCAGTAGTACATGCACACATGCACACACGCACGCACGCACGCACGCACGCACGCACGCACGCACTCTTACCTTGTCATATGTTTGCAGTTCAGCAGCTGCAGAGGTTATTATTTCGAAAAATTTACCTGAAGAAAAACACATCAAGTATGAGAGATAGCAACAAGAACATAAAATGTCAAATGAGATGGAGCGGGTTTTCTGCTGCTGCTGCTGGTGCAGGGATTTCTAGGACAAGGAATGGAAACACTGAGTGAACGGAGACAGAGATTATAGCCTGTCTCACAATCACTGAACCATGTTGCTTTCCCCTCGGCATAATAAAGTAAGACTAGATTTTCCAAAGTATTCCCGTCCCTTTTTCATTTTGAAAATAGCTGCTTGTTAGTATCAAAATGATAAAATTATTATATTGTCAGAGATGAAGCACTCAACGAAGGTCTCATTTTCAGATTACATACAGATGCCGGTTTCTATCAAAGTTATATATTTTAAGAAAAGTAGCTTCCATTTACAATCGAAATGCAGTTGAACGTTTCTATCAAAGTTGTATGCTTTAGACACGAAGCTTCCATTTTACAATGGCTCGTTTTGAATTTAAATGTATATGCTTTTTCTATCAAAAAGATACATATTTCAGAAACGAAAGTCCTTTTCAATTTATATGTAGTTGCTTGTCTTAATCAAAATATGGGGCGGTGGGGTAGCCTAGTGGTTAAAGCGTTCGCTCGTCACGCCAAAGACCCGGGTTCGATTCCCCACATGGGTACAATGTGTGAAGCCCATTTCTTGTGTCCCCGCCGTGATGTTGCTGGAATATTGCTAAAAGCGGCCTAAAAACCATAGTCACTCACTCACTTACTGACTGACACAAAATTATATCTTTTCAAATGGATCTATCATACCACAGATGCTCCTATTTAATTAAATGTAGTTGTCTGTGTCTGTCGATATTTTATAATTTAAGAGACTAATTATATAAGCCTTAGCATACCTTGAATTTTATAGGATTGATCCGCCTTGTGGGATCATCTTTATAACTCTAAAGGTTACAAATGTAATGTTCCTGGTTCCTGAGATAATGATATGTGCCTCCTGTAGCCCATGCATCCTGTGTGAATCCGCTTGAGAGGATCGGGTGATTGGGCTAGATAACCTGACTGTCACCGTGACCCGATGGCTTGGCCATGCTGGATATTGCCTATTCTCTCCATCACTGGCTTGTCTGGCCAGGTTCAATTAAGTTCATAGCATATACATGTAAATGGAACATTGCTGGTGTATGCCGATAAACGTCATTCGCCCACTAAATCTGTATACTTGTACCTTAGAAAGTACACATGAATATGTATTTAGCTATAGTGAACAAACTGCATAAGCCTAGTGGTTAAAGCGTTCACTCGCCACGCTGAAGTCGGGTTCGATTCCCCAATGGGTTCAATGTGTGAAGCCATTTCTGGTGATATCCTGAAAACGGCTTTAAATGGGTCAATCAATTTGCCTGTGTGATGCCAGCCTAAGCACCAGACTCCTACAGTCGTACACTGCAGTGTTAAACATTAAATAATTGTTTGTTTAACGCCGTACTCACAAATATTCCAACTATACGGCGATCCTGTAAAACCTCGAGTCTGACTGACAATCCAGTGATCGACATCATAAACATCGATATAAGCAGTTGGGTGAGTGAGTGGGTTTATTTTTACGCAGCTTTTAGCAATTTTCCAGGAATATCACGGGGACACCAGAAATGGGCTTCACACATTGTATCCATGTTGGGAAACGAACCCGGGCCTTCAGCATGACGAGCGAACGCTTTAACCACTAGGCTATCCCACCGCCCTACGTTGGGATACGATGACATGTGCCAAACAAGTCAGCGAGCCTGATCATCCCGTAAGTCGCCTCTTCCGACAAGCATGGGTTGCTGAAGACCAATTCTAACCCAGATCTTCACGGGTCATGAACATTTCAAGTCCACACAGATACAGTCGTGTATTTAGCTGTAAACCCTGATAAGCAAATCCTACCCTGTGGGTTTCGAAATAGCTGTATGAGAACTCCAGAGTGTCCTGAAATAGTATCGTTCCTTTGTCTGTGAGCCAGGTCACTGGGGATAGCCAGGAGGTCAGCTGCCTTGGCTATCTCGTTCCCACATCGGCGACACAGTAAATACCCTGCACAGACAAAACACAGTTAGCATTGTACATTTTGGTACGTATCATGGTGGATATACGAAATGACATGTAAACAAGCAAATACACAAATCCAAGGAAAACATAAGACCGTAATTCGCTCTGCAGAAGAGTGAGTGAGTGAGTTTAGTTTTACGCCGCAGTCAGCAATATTCCAGCTATATGGCGGCGGTCTGTAAATAATCGAGTCTGGATCAGACAATCCAGTGATCAGCATCATGAGCATCGACCTTCACTATTGGGATACGATGATACATGTCACTCAAGTCAGTGAGCCTGGCCACCCGATCCCGTTAGTCGCCTCTTACGACAAGCATGGGTAACGAAGATCAATTTTAACCGGCATGGATATCATTGATATGAGCGACTTATCGGTAGCAGTATAGCTACTAAACACTTCACTTCACTTGCTAGATAACGGTGTTAGTAGCTACACCAAAACGTCGCTCATATCAATATTAAAGAAGTTGTATGTCCATAGAACGCTCCTCGTAGTTTCATCACAACAACTTCCAAATGCCACTCAAAAAAGTTAAATTTATTCAGCCTCTCAGAATCGTTCATCGGGAGTTCGGACCTATCACCGTCGTCTTTAATGATAATTTGTCTGGGTTTTTTTTTTTTTTTTTAGTCAACTATGCTTTAAGCTGTCTCCGCCCCATGACGATGAAGGTGCAAACACAGTTTGTGTAAAACATTTTGCGTGTATTTATGCTCAAGCAACCTTTAAGTAGAAGTAGAAATTCATGATTCATTACGCGCAGTTATGTCGAATAGTGTTGATAACAGGCGGCTCGTGGGTTGATGACAGCCAAGTCTTTATTGACTCTCCGAATCGTGTTACGAATTTTTTAAAAGCACATATATGCATACATAGATAAACAAGACAGATACACGTTTGTGCACAACGACATACCCAATGAATACGTACATTCATGCACAAAAGCTAAAAAATACATAGACGTTTGTGTATAAGGATATTGCCCAATGAATGCTTACATTCACGTACTGAAACGAAACACACACGTTTGTCAACCGATATTCCCGAATCTTGCTGATAAAATAATAAATACACTTCCCAATTAGTAAACTGCAATAGTTTTATTTCGAGCATTAATATACACATGAGAATTTTGCGAAGTGCAGGGTTTGAATACAATAACATAACGAGCAATTTTACTGGAGAATCTCCCTGAGTGGAAATCTCTTCCTTCAATGGGGAATGATATGTACATATCACAACCTGAAGGCTCTGTATCTCGCCCAAACGTTTCCAATGGCAACAGTACACATCAAAAGTTAAAATAATAAATTTCTTAAGAAGGGCCGCGACACGTAAAATATGTTTCGACTATATGCTCTGTATATCGGGTAACACGTCATAGAATTAAGGGCGATGGGGTAGCCTAGTGGTTTAAGAGTTCGCTCGTCGCTGAAGACTTGGGTTGGTATCCCCACATGACCACAATGTGTGAAGCCCATTTCTGGTGACCCCGCCGTGATATTGCTGGAAAATTGCTAAAGGCCTTGTAAAACTAAACTCACTGTTATTGAACTGAATAGCCCCCTTGTGGGGTAAAATGACCCCAACATGAGAACGAGACGAGAATGTGGGGGAACCAGGCGCGTAGCAAGCCAATTTTTTCGTGTAAGCCCGATAGGTTGCAAAGCTTTATATTTAGATAGTATTGAGGGTTTCACTAACCTTTTTAGCTCCAATCCTGTGTAAGCCCGGGCTTATTTTTATTATGGTAGCTACGCCCCTGGGAACAAGTCATGGTCACTGTATATATTGCTAGAAAAACACGCGGTTTAAGATTTGTTGACTACCTAACTGAGAAGACATAGAGTATGCTTCACGATGGCAGATATAAGGGAGGCAACTCTTTGGGCCTTGTAAGTTCAGACTGACCCACTGGCTCAGCCATTCGGGATTCACCGGTCTCTGTTGGCGGTTTTCCGGCTGCGTCATAGGTTACAATTTAGATGACAACTGTTTGTTGAAATAGGTTGACATCAGGTTCGTGCCTTTCAGTTTTGTCTGGTTTTAATTAATTCTCAAGCATGTGTCCGATTCATGGCAGATCATTTCTAATGGAAACTGGCTGTTTAGGTGGTATATGCATTACAAATGTCAAGGGAAAACAATATTTGTGTTTACATTACGTCGTGTCGGGTGTGGGACAAACATTACGTCGTGTCGGGTGTGGGACAAACACCACAGCGATGCAATGTTTAGTTTGCTTGCTACACACAACAAAATTCAGGCTGTATAGCGGTGGTCCAATGGTAGGAGCCACAGGCTACTGCGCAGCTCTCACTTCCGTGGGTCGAATCCCAGCTCGACCCGATCGCGCTCGTGGGTTTAACCATAGTATACATCTGAGCCCTGCATTACTCCGGATTTTCCTTCTACATCATGCTGACACCGTGATACAATTGGAAACCAAATCAGAGGGGTGTTAAACTAAACTCCCTCACTCACGTATATGCATAGACGTTTACATGAGAGAGTCGGGAAACGATTAGGAAGGACAGACCGATAGACCCTTTTCAAGGCGAGTGTCACGCCATACTGGAGTGTTGCTCCAACTGGCGACCTATATATCATGCCAACCCTGCGTCTATCCAAACTGCGTGTGTTACTGCATGTTCTTAGACTAGTCTGTCTCACAATTCCTTATTCTCTTATTCCGCCCGTCCCAAGCTGTAAGCTACTGACCTACATTAAACAAGTCTAGATTTTCCACAGATTCTGAAACGCCATTATCACTGGAGTTCCTTTTCGGTTCAAACATAATAATACTTGTTTCTATCTAACTTATATATTTTCAAAGACTTCGTGTTAGTCTACATCGTGTACTGCAATAAACCATTTGCTTTTAGACGGGTCATTTGCGAAAAGAAATCAGCACACCTCTGCACCCACCATATGCTACTCGAGAGATGTTAAGGAACTCCAGATTCTTTCCTTTTATACTATAGTTAATCTCTCGTGACAGATCCAGGTGTTCTTCTGTTTCTTTGAGAAGTATATATACTTTGATAAAATCAAACATTTTGACCTCGTTGACTTGGTGTACAGCGTACACTTGAGCTCAATAGCTTAAAATCATTTCACGTCTCCACACGGAAGAACAGCACGTGCCTGTCCTCCCGTTTCCGCGTGCAGCAAGCGAACATCTTTTTGAAGTCTCAAAGAAACCCAACAAAACACCGCCATTACCTACACAGGACAATACTCTTCTTTGTCATGTCCGACATGTGGATGTTTAATCGCTGTTTTATGATTGAAAACGAACAACGCCTCTACCAGAAATACCCACGTCGTCTCACTCTGCTTATTCATTATTCAACGTTTCAGCTCATATATCGTTTTAAACAAATGGATAACTTTTTAGAGGAGGTTTCCCCATGATGTCAATAATCTGGACGTGAATCGATTAATAGAAGGACCATGGAAACAGAATGAGTACTGCTGAAATGATTCAACAACAAAGACCCGTGAAGATCCGGGTCAGAATTGATCTTCAGCAACTCATGCTTGTCATAAGAGGCGACTAACGGGATAGGGTGGTCAGACTCGCTGACTTGGTTGACACATGTCATCATATCCCAATTGCGTAGACCGATGCTCATGCTGTTGACCACTGGATGGTCTGGTCCGGATTCGATTATTTACAGACCGCCGCCATATAGCTGGAATATTGCTGAGTGCGGCGTAAGACAACAAACAAGAAATATAATGAATACTACTAAAATGAATTATCAAACAATCATGACTGAAACCTACAATTATTACACTGATAATAGCACAGTTTGAAGTCTGTGGTAGATCTATAGTTTCGTGTTTACAGCTTTGAAACTGAATTTCAGTGAATTCTGACGGACCTTGCGGGGGGATGTGTCGAAATAAAAACAAAAACCACACGGAGTTTTTGTCCATGTTAGTTACAGAAGAATAAACATTATAAACGTTATAAAAGTGACGTTACACCTTCTCATAAGGTCACTGACATAAACTACCATAGTTGACGTTGGCTTTACACCACAGACAAAACGCGTTGTGCAATATACCCATGACGTGCTGATATATTTAGAAGGTAAAACTCTCCACGAGTGACTTGACGTTGGGGTTCGCATGAGTGAGTGGATACCAAAATAACACTGCTAATGAACCGCGTAAGGGATAGTATCAAAATAAAAATAAAAATATTCGCACACACTGGTGAGAGGTTCGTTTAATACTCAACGACAATAATCAGTTTGCCGGTGATAATTAGTTTTGTCAGTAACTGAATATTACGGCACCCATGTTTTGTTTGTTTGTTGTTTAACACCGCACTCAGCAATATTCCAGCGATATGACGGCGATTTGAAAATAATCGAGTCTGGACCATACAACCCAGTGATTGACATCATGAGCATCGATCAACGCAGTTGGGATACGATGACAAGTGTCAACCAAGCCAGCGAGTCTGACCACAGGACCCCGCATTGTCCTTGTAAATCAGTGACTAACACGAATGGCTAAGTGAGTGAGTTTAGCTTTACGCCGCTTTTAGCAATATTCCAGCAATATCACGGCAGGGGACACCAGAAATGGGGACCGCCTCGGTGGTGTAGTGGTTAGAGCGTCCGCCCGGAGAGCGGAAGGTCGCGGGTTCAATCCCGACCGCGTCATACCAAAAGACGTTAAAATGTGGTACGTGTTGGTCCCTGCCTGGCGCTCGCCATTAATGGGTACAACAAGGACTGGTCGGCTCGGAGTCAGTATAATGTGTCTGAGTGGGGTATTCATGCTTCACTGCGGCATGGTATCTCAGTGGGCTAGCACTATAAAACCAGCTAAAGTCTGGGGTAGTACAAGCAGCCGCACATACACATACACACGCATGCACGTCGTCATATGAGCGAAATATTCTCAAGCACGACGTAAAACCCAATTTCACCTCACCAGAAATGGGTTTCACACATTGTACCCATGTGCGGAATAGGCGTCTTCAGCGCGACGAGCGAACGCTTTAACCACGGCACTGATGAAATCCTCTACGTTGAAACGCCATGACACCCACCCGACAATCATTAGGCTGCACTGAACGCCAACATTTCGACATGGACAATCCCACCCTGCAATACCGGTGGGCAAGCAGTTAAGCATGTCCATTAGTGGTTACATTCTCGTAACTACGTTTATGTGTTACGTGAACAGTCAATTTATCTCCGAAGTCCTAAAACAACTACATGTACACGTATAGACCATAAATAGGCATGTGGTGGCTAACAAACTTTTATTGACGAGGTATAAACTTGTTACAGTTTTCATTTGTTTTATTTGATGAAACAGGGGTAGTCGACATGTTTTGTGATTGCATTAGAACATAGTTGTTAACAGTCGATGACGTGTCCATGTACTCCAGCCTCACATACATGTATCAAAGGAGTGATAGATTGTACATGTATGTAGTTTTCGTATGTTCAAGTTAACAACGACTGACAAATTAAATAGCGTTACACAATATAACAAAGAAAGTCCATGACCCTAAAGGGTGGAACATTTTGTGGCATAACCTTGAAAGGGTCAACACCCATGTTCATTTAAAAGTTTGATTGTTGTTTAACACCGCACTCAGCAATATTCAAGCTATGGCGGTACGGAAATAAGCGAGTCTGGGCGAGACAATCCAGTGATCAACAGAATGTGTCAACCAAGTTTGTGCGCATAATAGGAATCCCGTTTCGGTTAATAATATAGTTAGTGGGTTAGTTTATGGGTTATGGGTTATGGTCCCGATACACAAAGCGTTCATAGCATTACGACCTGTCGGAACTCTATACTTTATCATAGGCCTACGAATGACCCAAGACGAAAAAAGCTGAACTATCCTTGCAGTCATAGTGTTCAGGAAATGCAGCATTCACGTTTACACATTAACAAAATGTCTACTAAACAATTAATTGAAATGACAATTAGAGGTGTGACGTTACAGAAATTTCGCGATACGATAGGTATCGCGATATCTTGGAACGATACGATTCGATTCGATGCATATCACGATATGCTATCGTTAGTTCTTTTCTTTCAAAAAGTATATTTTGATAGCAAGTAACAGTGTAAATGTTGACATTACCATCAAATTCTAGTGAAACTTAACAATTTTAAGGTCAACGATACATATCACGATACGAGAAAAGTATCGATATATTTATCGTCAGAAAAAGTATCACGATTATCGATACTACGATATATCGTCACAGCTCTAATGACAATATTGTTGTGATATTTTAAGTATAGTTGGATCATCAAAAGGTATGGGCACGATTATTTTCACAAAGGCACACATAAATGATTTGTCTGGTGCTTGGAGAAGATGCATTTTTATCCCTGATATTATTCAATCCTGCCGAGTGGTTTAATTGAATCAAATGTGCAAAACACTGGAGTCACAGTGCTCTATACCTCACGTACCCATGGACAAAGGTCGGTTGGTTGGTTGTTGTTTAACGCCGAGCTCAGCATTATTTCAGCTATATGGCGGCGGTCTGTAAATAATCGAGTCTAGACCAGACAATACAGTGATCAACAGCATGAGCATCGATCTACGCATTTGGGATACGATGATCTACGTCAGAGAGCCTGACCACCCGATCCCGTTAGTCACCTCTAACGACAAGTATGGGTTGCTGAAAATCAATTCTAACGGGTCTATATGGGAAAAGGACACTTCACCCTTAAAAACATGTTCGTCAGTCTGTTGTTTAACGCCGCACTAAACAATATTCAAACTTCACGGGTCCCGCGAAAACATAACGTCACGTAAACGCATTGTCGCAAACATAAAACTGACGTCATTCAACGCCCATGGTTTCACATAACAACTTAATGGGACGATTTTTTCAACATTCTCAACAATACAACAGGTAGAGAATTAATAACCCACTGACTAATCGGAATTACGCACTATCTGCCTTTTCACAAGACTTTGAACTTGCCAAATTACTTCACTTGCAACGGATAACCGTAATTCCTCGTAGGTCGAAAGTTATTCTCAAAGAATGTTCAAACACGGGACCATACCCTGCAGCTATTGCCAGCTGTCATCCCCTGGCCACCTTCCGCCTCAAGTCAAATGTGTGACTTCAGACTCCGTGTATATTGTACATGATAATATAGAGGCCTTCATTCCACGGTGTTGGATTATTATCAGACTGTCCACACCTGGGACCTCGCTATGTTATGAATATAATTGAATACATAAACGTAATGATCGTCTAGTCATGATTTACATTCAGACATGCCGAGAAGAACAGTTCCATGTGTCACATTTGGCTAACCACTGATCGATGATCATGCTCGGTTCCAGAACGGAATGAATGCCATTCGCTAAGCCGAATACCCGTGGGATTCTGATGAGTGAAATGAGAACATATTCAAAACACGAAAAAAAATGTCAAAATTATTTACCAAAGTAAGCCGACAGGCTAGCCCATGCCAAACAACGATCAGAGAATGAATAAGTGAAATGGGGCATGGCTTTAGTTTATGCAATGGGGAATAATGAGTGATTGATTTCATGCAAAATAACAAACAGCACTGAAATATACTGAGGGCATACGTGTAGACGTGCGCCATAACGATGTAATTATGCTATGTTAAGAACTGACATGATTGCATAATCGATATATTACCTTCAATTCCATCCGCAAAATGACATGCTACATATGCCACGATGTTTGCAAGGAAATATAACATAATAATGTCTGTGAAGCACCTTAAACATCCTCGAAGTTGAAATGCTGTGGGCGCTGCCATGTTAAAATTGCACTGTGGGTAATAATGTTTATATCGTGACCTTTCCCTATATTGGCTCTTCCGTCTTGTATTTTGCCTCCAGCGGTTACCTCTATTTGGATCTACTGTATTCGCTGAGCTTATGAAAATGCGACTAACCATTGATTCTTGAATTGATATAAATGATTACGCAATCGTATCTACTTACAACCGGAATGATATATATCACAGATACGCGTGTTTTATAAGTTATTTTCTTTCAACTGCTGGGCGACTATTCGAAGTTAGCATCACCGAAAACATGATTTTGACCCAGTTTGTGTACACGTTGCAAATTGCGCCACCAGACTCCCAGTAGGCGAAAATACATACTACTGCCGTCTCGTGAGGGGATATTTTGATCAACAAATAAGCTCTCGGGTAATTTTAGTATCTTATAACCATATCCTAATCACCTAGGAAACACAAAGAAGGTGATAAAAATACATAAACAACCTTTGCCCTCGTGACGGACTATATAACCTTGAGCATGATTGACAGCTACTACATTCTGACCAATCAGATGATGGAGGTGTGCCCCATTCGTCCAATCAGAGAGCTGAACTACGATCATATGGGTTTTGTTGATATTTTCACTAAGCTCCGCCTCCTCTAACACCAAAACAAACCGGCGCAGTTTGCCGGCATATGTTTACATCGGAAAGCGGTGACATTGAAGAAAAATTGGGGTACATCGACGCACGGGATCTGGAAATTAGTGCTCAACTTTATCATATGTGTCGTTGATGAACCATTCCAGATATGTTTGGGAACAGAAAGCTGGCGAAGCGATCCATTACAGGAACGAGAATCGCAGCGCTCCAACAAGATGGCCGATACTACCCCGGTATTATTGAATCCCAGACTTCCGAGGAAGGTTTTATAACAAGTGCTATGTATAAGGTCAAATTTGACAGTGGAGATTCCAAGGAGATTACTTCAGAAGGCATCGTCGGGCAGGGATTCCGTCAAATGACAGACATTAACTTGAGAAATGGACAGAAAGTGTTCGTGACCCTGAATGGCAGAGAAGTGTCAGCGATTGTTATTACCCAGGACGAAGATAATGTTTTGATAACAGTCACACAAATGGACGGGGAGAGGCGAGAGATGGTGAAGAGAGTTGACGAAGTGAGACTCTTAGAAAGTCGGAAATCGGCCAGACTAGCTGATTTGGACACAGACTACTCCAAACTTGCAGATATTCAACTTTCCGAGCCAAAGAAGAGACCAGTTTCACATGTTATCGACGTGCCGGCAAAGTCACGGTAAGTTTCTATATCTAGCGACCTACTTGTGTAAAACAGCTGATCGCTTGCACCGGCAGTCGGTCTTGTTATGAAATCGTCACGCTGATTTCTTCTCGCATTGCAATGCGCTGGGTACTGTGAGCTTAACTGGCAATTAGACTTGTATTGTCAATGTCCCCAATGCGCTGTGTAATTTGTACAGCACTCCGAATTGTGTTGACTGCAGAAACTTCACATAATTATGCACAACGAACTTAGAAAATTGCTGAATAAGCCAAACTGGACCATTCTTAGTCCGAATTTACAAACATACATATTGACAAAGAAATGTAAAAGAATGGCTGTCATTATGAGGTAAGTGTTTGTTTTAAACAAATGTGTTATGTTTATTTTTGCTTGTTATTTTGTTAACAGTAAATCGTACATTTTGAAATAACATATGGTAAGAACTTTCAGGTTGGTTTTTAGTGTCAGTTATTGTTTTCCCCCCTAGTCTCCATTATGCCTTCGACAGTGATAAGCCAAGTCACGTCAGCAACATGTCAGAGCCATATTTAGAAACAAATGGGGACATTGACTGGAATTATCTTTCGGAGTACATTTTGTAGATCGAGTTCGTTTTTGGCTGATGATGGATAGCCTTACGTCATTTCTAGGGGTCCATATCTCTGTTTTCATCATTATCATATGGTTCAGTTTTTCAACAACTGAAACGAATTTTATCGGTCATTAATGAGTGTTCCCCATAAATATCAAATATTATTAAGCAACAGTAAAACTGTGTATTGAATGCAATCACATATCACACAGAGCACGGGATGCAACTATAGCACTAGATGTGACATATAGCACTGGATACAACCTGTAGCACAATATATCACATATAACACTAAACAAACAACACAGATGAAATTTCTAGAGATACGATTATATATATCTGAAGAACACCTGTAATACGGTATATTCGTAAAGAATATAGTTCCCGTTGTGATTGAAAGTTCAACCTCTGCTGGTTGTAATAGTGACAACATACACTTGATTGGTGAGGAGGGGTATATTATCAGTCACCGGATTGTCTGGTGGAGACTGTATTACCCGCAGGCCGCCGTCATAGGGATGGAATATTGCTGATTGTGAATAAAAACAACAATTACAGAAACAAACGTAAATGTTTTAACTAAGCTTCCTTGCACACCCTAGGCGAGAGAGACGTCACCTAGACTCGGCATTGTATGGAAGCGACGATGACAACGATGATGTCGACATGGTAGATGAACGTGAACATGTGGCAGCTTTCGCTCTCACCAGTCTGTCCAGTAGTCCAGCCTCGCCCTCCTTCCCGCAGTCGTTCAAGGACAAAGGTCAGTATATAAATAAACTGTATTCAATAAAGACATCGCGACGTCCTGCCGAATAAAGAGTGTATACCATATGTGAAGGTATTAATACCGTTTAATGTCCTCAGCGATATGAGCCTGTACGTAATCTCCAATTCAGTGTAACAGTATTATCAGATCCTTCTTATCTTAATAAAATAATTTCATAAATATGCATATGGGGTGTTAATTCTTTGATGGTACCAAATTATCATATTTTTAGGTGTTAAACTTTCAGAATTTCTCAGAAGTCCGGGATCTTTCCATGACTATCATTTGTCAAGCAGTGCGGCCAGCAGTGGGTTTGAAAGCGGTCACTCTGAGAGAAGTGACCGGTCACCACCCCTCCCCTCACACCTGAGTGAGAGCGCACCTGCAGCCATCCAGATCCGGAGCCCGACCCCACAAGATGACGTTCTTGATCTCGAAGAAAACATTAAAAAGTTTTACGATGACGAAACACAAGAACACAAGGTAACGGTTTAACTGATTGTAGAAACCAGAGAGAAAAAATCTGTAGGGTTGAGTTTTGTTTACTCTGTATGTTGGGTTCGAAGGAAATTACATATGAATACGGTTTGTGTTGTATAATTGTCTACCACGAATCCCAGTGCATCCTTCTTGTGCGGTTGCACAATGTTTCATCATGTGATTTTGCCTTGATCCAAGCACCTTTTTTGTGTTCCAAATAAAGCTTCGATGCATGTGTACATGTTTTGAGACGCGTCATCAACACCTTGAAAAAATGTATTTAGATCGTCAGGTCCCAAAATAGATCCGTTGGCAAGTCGGTCGCTGCTGAGGCACAGTTTGGCGGTTTGGGGAGCAAATGTACCCCAAGTAGACATGTTGTGAATTGTAATAAAGCGTGGATTAACTGAGGTTATACGTTGGGACATTTTGTTTGTTTTATGTCAGCATTTCCGAGTTGCCGACTGCTGAGATGCCGACAGTTTAGCCTGACCTGGATAGCAAACAGCTGATTGCCTTGCCGGCGTGCTATTTTTAGCCACAGCACACACCGCCCAAGTTGCGTTGTCATGTCGGTTGCCTGTATCGATCGCTCTGCACAGCTGAATGAATGCGCGTAGCTCGGGCTGTTAGATATCCTGTTTCACACAACAGAGCTAGACTCAATGTATTGCTTTTGGACAATATGAGCATGTATATATATCAAATATGAAGATAAAATAAGTTGCAGCTGTACATGCACAGATTGAGGTTGTTTTGACAGCTGGGCAAAACCGGCACGTGCAAGGAGCATGATTTGTTTATGTCACGTGGTCGTGACGTTTCGGCTATCACGTGATCTATGATTTAAGCGCTATAAATAGTACCCGTAGCTGCGCAGGTCGAAGAATTTCTCTGCCTTGGGCGATGTTGGAGTTAAAAATACTTTATGACTATTAATATAAATAGTCAAAATAGTTAGAAAGACCCATTTCCGTAAACAATGAATATAGCTTTACATTTTAAAATGCCAAGGGAATTTTATTACTTTGTTACATAATAAATATTAAGGAAAATTGTAAATCGATGTTTACAAGTAGGTTCGGTGTGTGACGATAGTGTTCTTGATAATGTGGAAAATAATCACCGATCTTAGTTGTGATTTTTCTCTAAGAAAACATGAAATAATGACATTAAATTGTGCAATAAAAATCGTATCCGATTAAAATATTACAATTTGACTGTGTATTACATACATACATACATACATACACACACACACACACATACATACATACATACATACATACATACATACATACATACATACATACATACATACATACATACATACATACATACATACATACATACATAATACATACATACATACATACATACATACATACACATGAATTTAGAGCAAAAGTTATAATGTATTTGATGAAGAACTGCTTTATGAAATGATCACAGGTTGCCACCATATGAAATGACATGAGACCATATTCTACAGTGAGACACCATGATCCCATGAGAGGTCAAGGGAACATACCATAATTTCCAAACATGCACACAGTCTTTCTTCATTCCAAAAGTAGGTCACCGGAAAGTAGGTCAGTTTAGCCAGTTTTGGCAATCCAGAACCAGAGAAGATGTAAAACTAGGGCAGTATGCCCTATAAATGTTTGTAGGTTATTCAAGCGAGACAAATGCTAATTTGAAATGTTTTTGTGTGATACTATAGTAGTCTTAGGATGTTGGCCATTTGACAAAGTTACAACGTTCATTTTTACCTAGTACTATAATTATCTGGTTTTAAGTCTGTGCACTCAAGTGAGCTAGATTAATAGTGTAAACACTATTGATATTACTAATATATGTAAACTGGTTAGGGACTGACTTTTAGATGGTTGGAGGGAAGGAGGGTTCTGAATTTTAATCAAAAATAATATTTTGTCCCAAATATATTGAAGGAAATAATTATGCTTCAGAGTGGTGAAAAATAGAATACTTCGACAGTTTCAAAAATACTGACTCTTCGACTTTGAAATGAACATTTATTTTACAGAATTATATAAATTATCTTAATGAAGTATTATGAAATGAAGCCAAGGGACTTCCTTCATTTTTAGGAGTTGCAGATATCTAAACTTGCCAGACATGAGGGACCTTCATAATTTATGGCTATTTAGAGAGAGAGAGTGTGTGTGTGTGTGTGTGTGTGATATGATTATTTTTTTGGGGGGTCACCCATTTTTTTCTGAGGAGGTAAGGGGTCATCAATATTGTACACGTTTCTAGGGGGGGTAGCAATTTTGTACATAAAAATATTTTAAAATTATGCTTTAAAAATATGGAAAGGGGGAGGGGGGTCATGACTTTGTACATGACATGCAGGGGGGTCACTTACTTTGTACATAAATTGGGGAGGGAGAAAGAAAATTCACATTGTACATGCTTCTCCATAAAAATCATCATCACTCCCCTAGCCATAAGTTATGAACGGTCCCTAACAGACTTGCATGGGCAGTATTGGGTATATTTGTTTAGGGTCTGAAGGACATGCTGTGACTCCTTATAACACTAGATGAGCATAATGTGATGGTGGTACATTATGTCAAGCTGCAGTGTTGTGGACAGATACAATAATAGGTAAATGTGATGACTGACACGTTAACTGATAGACATCTACATGCATTAACCAGGGGCAAAGTCACGTGGTGCAGAGCTGAGAGGTTAACGTAAAGTTCATAATTTTGTAACTATGTTGTTTGTCCCAGCATATCTATCAGTTATCACTTTCACTATGTGTAAATATACACATGAATGGAATATATGGAATATATACCATGTATAATTAACTGACATTGAAACTTGAAAGTTATTCGTATGACTTACCAAATTTCAAGTTTGACTCCTAAGTTTCAAATTTTGTTGCAGTGGTGAATAATAAAATAGTTTGTCAAAAATCCTTATTTAGTATTTAATATGATTACGAATAGCTTTAATGTACTTTCTTGATGAATTTTCGGATTCTGACACTATGTTTAGGGTTGACAGGAGCATAAACCATAAATTCAATGCAAGATTTTTATCGGTATATTTTTTTTAAATGGTGTATATCATTTGATAGTATATCCATTTGTATCATTTCCTGAAATTAGTTGTTGAAGCAAGAAATTGCAATTCTCCAACAGATTTGTCAAATAGTTTGCTGGTATTTTGTTGAAGAAGCTATGGCTTCTTTAAACTAACTTTGGAGCATAATATCATTTTAATCTTTAGTTTCTGTTTTAGCACTTCAACTGAATGATTTGAAGAAATAGGTGTGAAGTCTTTGTGTTTTTGGCAGGAGAGATACACATTTTCCCTGGGCGACTTGTGGGTCCATTTAGTTGAAAATGAAATCATTCTCTTTGTGAAGTTTGTGACCCTCCTCTGATTGACAGTGTTTGTTTTTCCAGGGCTTGCGGACCGTGTTCCAGTGTACATGGCGCCGATGTGGTGAAATGTGCAACACACTGAAAGATATCACAAAACATGTACGGAAGACACATTTCAAGTAAGTCAGCTAGCCTACCATTTTTATGTGAGTCTCTTAGGCCAGACCAATTATATTTCTTGTTTTACGGATTTTTGTCCTCAGAAAACCTAAAGGCAGGAGGGAAAAAAAATAAAATAAAATCACCAGTCAATGAAATATTCCTTCTAAGTATTAAAAGTACTTTACTTTTGGGAATTTATGAAGTGTATATGGGGCAAAAAACAATCCAAAAAATCATTTTCTTGTAAGTTTACATTTTTGGCCAATAAAAACATTAGGATTTTATTTTTTGAGCGGGGAAAATTAATTATTTTTGTTTCTTATTCTTGAAAAATACGACCGGCAGATCCGTAAAACAAGAAATAAAATTGCTCTGGCCTTATAATGGATATTTTTCTTCTCCTCTCATATTAGCTGAATATGTCCCAAGTATCTAATGTTTGTTGTATGAGTTGACTAAAATTATGATTGAAAGTTGAAATTCGCCTAGACTGTGGGTATTGTTTCTGATACTATTGTCATCTTGCTGCACATTATGATGTTAATGACAATGAAATATTTACTGAAATTGTGAACATTTTGAACTTAAGAAACAGTTTTCATTATTATGTAGGCTTTTACATTGACTCTAATGACTTGGGGGTTCAACAGACAGTACATGAAATATCAAGGTTTTATAAGGTGATGACAGGGCGGCAGGGTAGCCTAGTGGTTAAAGCGTCAGCTCGTCATGCCGAAGGCACGGGTTCAAATCCCCACATGGGCACAATGTGTCAAGCCTATTTCCTGCGTCCCCCACCGTGATATTGCTGGAATATTGCTAAAACTAGCGTCAAGCCATACCCGCTCGCTAAGATGATGAAATAGTGAAGATGGCTGTATGTATTCATGTAAACCTGTTGAGAGCTCGATTTCCTGAACAATATCCTGACTGCAAGAATAGTTCAGCTTCATTTGTCCTGGACCCATACTAACCAACAAACTATGTTATCATCCAAAACGGGATTTCCTGTTATGCACACTGAAGATCCGGGTTAGAACTGGTCTTCAGGAGTCCTTGCTGCCATGTCATTTTTCAATAGGTAGGTTAGGTATAAACAGCACTGTGAACCACTTTTTCTTTTCTATTCTGTTTAAGTTGTGAGTCAATAGGATAAGTGAGGTTAAGGAATAATATTTGATTAAGAAATGGCGTTTACAGACGTTGTCATGTCATGTTGTTGATGTCTTTCAGCCGCGACAGCGATGAAGAGTTGTCGGACCAAGAGGAAGACTTCTATTACAATGAGGTCCAAGTTGAGATGGACAATGTCACGCGACAGTTTGCAGAGATGCATACATCCTCACCCCCCCCTATCAGCAACGTGGATTCTTCCACACATGTTATACCTGTTGCCAATGTTGGGATATTTGACCACGATTATCAGAGAAAGGTAAGATCCTGATCATATTATCAAAGAAAACTAAGACCCTCATCAGAGCAAGAAAATCTTCTTGGATACTAATACCAGGAGTGAGTCCGGTTTAAATGCTCCATGGAACAGTATTTCTGTTATTTCATATCTTGCCTACTTGATCATAAGAGGAAACACTGACATGTGACAGGTACAGATGTAAACCTCCTGGTGAAACCCTCAAGCTAAATGCATGGGCTCAGTGTACACAAATCTAGAAAGGTGGTGAACTAGAATTCAAACCAGTGATCATCTACCAAAGGGAGACAACTCTGCTCACCGTGCTACTGCATGTTAGATGATTCATCTGCCTATACTGCTGAAAGCAGTTACTAATTAAATTACATGCATGCTTAGGTTTACATTATTATATTGAATGCAGTGTTAGCAATCATTAATATAAGAAAATATGAACACAATGTTTTCACTAAATAATGAACAAGCAATGGATCAGGCTGACCTCATCACCGAATGTCTGGATGATCCATCAGAAGCTGTCAGTCTCTGTCACCTTCATTGTTTCTTACACAGGAACATAAGACCCCCTCTCACATCCTGGCCTCGTCGGTGCCATCTGGTGTCGATATAACCAGTCAGGGGCCATCACTCCCAATTGTCATCCCAGAAGGTCAGATCAAGAGGTCGTTATCATGGCAAATACAGTCTTCGTCACCTGGCAATGTGGTAAGAGAATGTGCATACTATCAACCCTGCTTGGAGAGTGGCTCTAAAATAGTCTGTCTCACAGTCCCTGAACTGCATTATTTCCCTTCTGCCTGCCCTTTCTGCAATACTAAATGAAGCAGTCTAGATTTCTGAATCTCCCATCTCACTGGGACTCTTTTCAATTTAAATGGGATTATTTGTTTCTACAGTAGTTGGCCATAAGTGTGTCATCATTAGCGAAATGTCCATAGACTTACATGTAATTAACTGTTGCAAGAATAATCTTCATAAATTGAGTATGTCATTTTATTTTGATATTTTGCAAACATCTTGGAAATCATCTTCAACTATGTGTAATTAATTTTCTTTCATCTTTCCGTTGATTTGTTATCGAATGACACCTGATTAAGCATGATATATAAGTACAACTTTTAATCTATCCTATAGACAGCCTTTTTAAACCTGAATGGTACGTCTAACATGTTGTTTAAATAGTTGCAGTTTTCTTAATAATCATCGGAAAATTGAATGGAAATTATGTGTATGTAGCTGAGATGATTTCCCAACTTGTAGATAAGTATTGAAAGCAATTCAACCGAAACTAAATTTATGAACATTATTTTTGCAAGAGTTAATTAACATGCAAGTCTATGGGAATTTCGCTAATGATGACTCACTAATGGTCAACTACTGTATCAACATCATGTATATTCAGAGACTAAGTGTTAGTCTAGCTCTGAAACTGACACATGTCAGCCTTAAAATATTGCTAAAACATGCGGCTCTTCCAGGACAGGAATTTGATACACAGTGAAAAAATCATTATCATTAAAAAGGATCGATGTGACAGATCTGAAACTTCAAATGTGTGTTTTCGATTATCCTGATGAACTGTGTGTCCTTGCAGGCATCCTCACCAGTGAGGTTTTCCCGGCCAAGCGTCCAGGTACGTCTCCAGCAGCACCAAGCTCAGTCTCCCAAGTCTCACATGTTCGCATCGCCTCCAAAAGCCGGTGGAATGCATCGGAAGCCACGAAGTGAGGTCCGGAAATGTCGGAAAGTCTACGGAATGGAAAACAGGGATTCTTGGTGCACTCAGTGTAAATGGAAGAAAGCATGCACTCGTTTCCTGGACTAAGATTTTCATCATCCATCAGTCCATGGTGGCACGTCCATACACGGAACTGGAGATTCTTACAAGCGATGAATGCCTGAATATTGTTAGGTTTGTTGGATAACTGATCTCTTGCTAAGCCACAATCCTTGCTGAAGTCTGTATATATCCTTGGTAGTTGATCATATACTCTTCCTGTCAATATTACTTAAGAGACCATAAACTTTACTTAACAAAAGCACAACTGCTTTCCCTTCCAAAGTCTGTATATATCCTTGGTAGCTGATGGTATGCTCTTGTCAATATCGCCCACACACCTAAATCTGTTTATCAAAAAGTTTGTGTAGCAAAAGCACTGGTGACCTTGTCAAGAGTTTGTATATATTGTTAATCCTTGTTAGTTGAAGGTGCAATCAACCTTTCACTACACCACATCCTAAAATGTGTATATGAAAGTTTGTTTAGCAAACGCAAAGGTGACTTCTCTTGAGTCCTAAAGTATTTCACTCTCTTTCGCTGTAATGTTGTCAAGAATGGATTCAGGTTAACTGTTAACTTCTGAATCAGAGTGTCAGGTTTACACAACTACTGAGTTTGCATATGAGAGGAGCTGTTTAAACCACATTATATTTTGAGAATGAAAATTTGGTAAAATGTGTAATAAAATTGTAAGCATCAAGTTGTCATGTACCAGACTGACAGGGTTTTTTAGTTTTTTTATCAAGATTTCTTATTTTACATTTTTAAGTAAACAAATTTTATTTAGGATCTGATTTAGATGAACGAGGGAGTAAGTAATCCTGTTGTGACAAATCATACAAATAAATCCTTGACATGACGTCTAGTTGCAATGTCAATATCTGGAGCCATATTTGGGCAGAAATAGGTGATCATCAGTTGATTGTTGAATTGAATTTTCAGCATTTTATTCTGTACATTCTTAAAATGTTTACATGTATGATTAAATTGAAACCATCTTGATTTAGGACTGTATTTTTAAACATCATTCTGATCTTGTTTTACTTCAACTAAATTTGTATGATTATACTTCCATTCAGGTGGAACTTTGTCCATGTCCTGGGTTTAAGCATCAGGTATCTACATGACATCCTGAAACGGAATGCATGACTCTCTTCAGACATCAATATTCAGATACTTCACATTTGTATTCCTAGGTGATTGATTTACATGTCTTGGTAAATATTCTTAATTGTTTCTACCTGGCTGGAAGGTGCTATACTGTACAGGTCAAGGCCTGTTAAATCGGTGTTGTGGTTCTGATTGATACATCTTTTCAAGCATAGTGTCACTTTGTAGATAAGATATTTTTGTACATGACTTTTTATCAAAGATATATTTGAAAGTAAGGGACAGTAGCATATGAATCTGAAAAGTCAACCTCACCATTTGTCTCCTCAGTTAAACTTGGATACCCAGAACACTAGTATACCTCTCATCCAAAGTTTAGACTCACTAGTGTAAATATAGCCACTTACTTCAGTCAACTGTTCTAAACTAGATTTTGTATAATATTCCATACTGTTTATAGGTACTGTTTACACATGAACTGATGTATTTTAAAACAAATTTGTAACATTGAAAAGATTATTGTCATGAGTTCAGTAAATGATGAAACTCAGTGAAAATTGGTGAATTCTTAACAAAACTTTACACCAAAACGCAGCTGTTCACATGCATGATATTTGCACATGCTTTTCAGCAATTTGATGCATGATCCTCATTCAATTCATCTGCATAAGGTTTGCAGTTGGTTCCCCCAAGTTAGTGGAGAAATCAATCTTCGATGTAACCATATATATACATAACATGTAGTGAGAGTTTTAAGTGAGTCAAAACTTTTGATGGGAAGTATACCTCTTAAGTGGTAAGTTACACTGTGCTGGTGAATAATTTCAGATTGGCATTAATGTTCAAAACGGCATCAATAACTAATATGAATAGTTTTACTTTGATTAATTAAGGTTTTCTTTGCACATTGAAAGTCCATAAAACCAGCAGTTACAGAGTGGGATGTACAGCAACCAAATGAAGAAAACAAACAGCTACCAGTAACTCTATGATTAAATATTATAAAATTAGGATATTATTCTAAAATACATGTATATGAAACATATGTACATGTCAGTGATATGAAGAGAAGTTTACTTGCGAAATGAATCAACTTTCTCAGAGAGTATGTGCTGCCTTGTTGAAAATAAACACAAAATCAGCTGTATGACTCTTCCTGTATATATGTAAATATGAGTTTGTATGTACATATGGACAATATCAAACACGAAATAGCATTTAATCTAGCTAGTGGTAGTTGGTAGTGTAAATGTAGGGATCTTGAGATATGTTTGACCATCAATACCATATGCAACCAAACCTTCAGGTGACGTTTGACAGGTGCAAAAAAAATACATCTCTTGTCATGGTTGAGAACAATACCCATAAAATATTTTCTACCATCTATCACATCACATATCTGAAAGTGACCTTACAGTGACCTTTGACCTTTATAATCTGCTATAGCCCAGGGAGTCTCATTTTATGAATATGCATGAATCATTTCAGACATATTTGTACTAAGAGCTGTAACATCTATTATTCCATGTCTGATATATATATTTATATGTGGGTATCAATTCCTCGTGGTCCATATCGGCTTCTTCAAGTAGGATTTTATTGCTGTGTGATGTTAGTCTCATGAAAATCAGATATCGTGAAGGTTTTCGATTAGAATGATAAGATCGCGATGCCACTTTACAAAACAATCTTAGAGCCATGACATTCTTAAGTCTGTGGTAAGGTATTGGATTTACGATCACCTCAGCACTAAGATTGCTGGGTACAGTGGCACCCCGATATTAATGAGATTGTATGACGAGTATTTTGATTGTGTTGTACCCTGTTCTTGTGCATGAGACAAGTTATTATTGAATGTTGTGTTATTTGATTTCTTGTCTTCCAATATGTTGAATATCAATATCATTATGTATATTGTATGTGATTGATTAAACATGTTTGTATTTCTAAACGGTCTGTAGCAAAATATGGGGAAAGATATAATCAAATCAGTTATGTTTCAAACTGAAAAATTGTTATTTAGGAGAAATAAAACAAGTGTAAGGACAAGATGCTGAGTCAGTCAATCATGCATAAGTTAACAACTTAAATCAAATCTCAAAGAAAATGCTGTACACTTCATGAGAATTATACTAAAATTTAGGCAGTCTGTTTTCCTGGACTGGTAAATGTATTTTGTCCTCTTCTAGTATCCAAACCATGTAGGTAATTTTTTGTCGTTTGTTGCTTAACTAGCAGTATGTATGTGTGTGTATCTTATTAATAATTATGTAATGCTCAAAGTGTTCCCTGCTCTTAATATCCTGCTTGTTTATATGACATTTGTTAGAAACTTTATGATATGTTTTGAAGCAAGTCGTGAGTTTTTTACAATAACTTATTGCTATTTTATGCTAAAATTTCAAGAATTCACAAAATATTATACATTTTGGGGCTTCTGTTAACCTAAACACATTTCTTGAGAAATGTGTCTTAGAGAATATAATTTAGAGACAGGTAAGGAATAATGAAATACATTTGTGTTAGGAACGAATTAATGTTGCAATGTCAGACATTTTACCATATACCTGATTTCAGTGGGAACGACTGTGCGCCATGACTTTGACATTTCTAGTACGGACTAAGGGAGATAACTCATTACAACTGACTGTTCCTCGTTGATGAGATAAACCTCTGTAACCTGGCTGTGACACGTGTGTTACTGACGTGATATTTCCATGTGATAACAACCCATAATTTTAGCATTTAGCTTAATAGGTTAACAATTCAAAGTCCACCAATCACAAGAGCACTATATATTTAATTGCAGTTATAGATTGGCTTTAGGTTGTATATATTGTATATAGACTTTTGTGCTTATCATGGGGGTCTCTTGCCTCATGTCTGTATGGCTGTGACATGTTAAAGATATTTTACTATTGTTTGCGTGAGTACTTCCGTTCAGGTGGCACGCATTAATTTTCTCCATATCTTGCTTTTGAACATAGTTGAATGTTTTGACCAATGAGTAATCGTCATTTGATCACGTGGGGCTCAATAACCGTTATAGGGGCTAACCGTATATTTCACAGGACTGTGCGGCATGTTGGTTTCATGCAACAGATGGTATTTGGCTGTGCTTTAAGTAAGACCGAACTTGGACATTACTTGTTTCGAACGTAAAATATGCTGTTCGGAAATAATTCTACGTGATCGTAATCACTTTTACACATACTTAAGCTAAAATTGTTTGTCAAAGAGTTGATTAGCTGACTGTGTTTACGAGTATTTTCATGAAGAAAAATTAGTTGAAATTCAGGGGAAATATATTGATAATAATAATATTTCATGATGACTATTTCAGGGCATCTACATAAGAAGCTAATCCAGGGAGTCATACTTATTATTTTATGTGTGTGTTTCTGAAATTATTTTTAAAATACAAAAACTTTCTAGTTTACAAAATGGTGCAGAGCTGCATCTGCCATCACACCTAGAAACGTTGCCTTCAGTGTCGTGTTAGGACTTCACTGTTCTGCTGCATAATCAGAATCAGATACACCAAACAACATCTTCGTGTAAGCCCGAGAGGTTACAATGCTATATATTCAGATAGCATTGATGGCTTGCTCAACTTTCATGGTGATCTTTAGCAAAAATCACTTGTAAGCCCGGGCATTTCTTCAGAGTCGCTACGCCCCTGTCCTTGCATGTTATTGTGTTTTGATTCTCAGATGGCTATAAATAGTTAACACTGACAGTGTTTTGATGGCCTCTAATTACCTGACCGCCTTTGAAACTGGCCATTTCGTGCTGTTAAAATGTGCTTATGTACGTCTACCCCACTCAATATGTCAGATAACTCGTCTGTTTGAGTCTTTTAGCTATGTCTGCAGTTTAGTCAGTATAATGAGGCCAACCTTTCTGTTATTTCTTTCATCACGGAGCTGTGATGGTCTGGAGTCTATGATTTGAAGGGGGATAAAATTATATCAAAATTTATAAATTTATAAATAAATAAACGAACGAACGAACGAACGAATGAATAAATAGTCTTTCGGACACAGAGCATTTTATCCAACCTTTACTTTGTAATATTTACATGTTTTATGTATTTACAGTGAGTCGTTCGTTCTTCACTTCAGCATTATCAACTGCTTTGTTTGCGGAAAAATTCCTAATATTAAAAAACAGTGTTTTTATACATTTTTAAAGAAAGAAGTGCAAATCTGTGATATAAGTAAGTTATCAAAAAGGTTGGCCTTAACAAATAAGCGTTAATTTTATTTCGGAGGAAATGCACCAAATTTACCTATTAGCCCGTTTACTGATATATTCTGATTTCATGTTAGCATGAACTCACGAATGGTTCGAAAGAAAGATCCGTTTTGAATTTATTATCTACTTTTCTCATATTGTAAATTCATGTTGAACATTTAAGATGATGTAGTTTTGTTTTGTTGTTTTGATACGTACACTTCGTACGTTAACGTGTTCCGTTGTATTGCGAGTCCGCGTCCTTGTTTGGGTCAGTTGTGAGTACACCTGTCCTTCTCGTGTCTGTATGATGTATGTACATAGTAGAACATTACCAGCCTCTACATCTAACTGTGTGAAACAGATTTGGAATAAATATTTTCAACCATATTGTGTTTATTAATTGTTTTGGGGTCTGCAGTGACGCGCTTTGTTGTCATGCGAAACGTGAACGCTGAGGTTAAGTTATAGACTGTACGTATTGTTCAAGGAATCTTTGAACAGTATTTCAGCATCATTAGTTCCATGTCGAAAGAAGGGGCGGTGGGGTAGCCTAGTTGCTAAGGCGTTCCCTCGTCACGCGTAAGACCTGGGTTCGATTCCCCACAATGGGACGATGTGTGAAGCCCATTTCTGGTGTCCCCCGCCGTGATATTGCTGTATTATTTCTACAACGGGCGTAAAACTAAACTCACTCACTCACCCATGTCGACGTTTACGGTGAAAGATGTTTCTTGGGTAATTAAGGGGCGATGTTGAAGGTCGTGGTTCGACTCCACTCACGTGACAATCGTCTGCAGATGATATCACTGAAGTATTTTCCTTACTTTGTAAGTTCAAGGATAGGTTCGACCCACAACAAAGTGGGGCACATGAGATGCTGAACATGATGTATTCGAAAAGGCGATTTTGGTACTCGTTTGGGATATTAGTATATTTTAGAATTGGTAACTTTAATAACCAAAATAACCTTTAATGTGACAATGATAATTAGAATGTACAGAAGTAAACTTTGATGTGTAAAGTTCAATATATTGAGAGAAGCTACTTGATAAGCTTGTTTTGATATGAACGCAAATGCATGTTGATATTAAAGTGAACCAGACAGTTTGCGTTTGCATTTAGTCCACGTTTATTTTCAATATATGTGTTTCGGCATACACATATATCGGGGGCGTGGGGTAGCCTAGTGGTTAAAGCGTTAGCTCGTCACGAAGAAGACCCGGGTTCGATTCCCCACATGGGCACAATATGTGAAGCCCATTTCTGGTGTCCCCCCTCCGTGATATTGCTGGAATATTGGTAAAAGCGGAGTAAAACCTCACTCACTCACATATATACCTGTCCCAACAAGTTGTTTTAACTGAAACGAGCACATCGTGTAGTCTGGTTCCCGGGGTATGCTGTACTGGCGCTCTCACCGATTTTCAGCGACGTTGTCAGAGAAGCGCCCGCGAAGCACACCGTGGTAACCAGTCTGTATGTGGTACGGCAGTTAATCACACCTAACTCCATCACGGGTTGTAATGCAAGGGGAATAACTCCTTCAGGACTCGAAAGCGCATCAACTGCATCAAATACGTGAATGTACTTGTCACGTTTCTGAAACACAGCCTGGTGTAGCCAGGGGCGTAGCTACCAATATGAAAAATAGCCCGGGCAAACTTGTGATTTTTGCTAATTAAAGATCACCATGAAGGTTGAGAAAGCCCTCAATGCCATCTAAATATATAGCTTTGTAACCTCTCGGGCTTACACGAAAAACAAGGCTTGCTACGCGCCTGGTAGCTGCATCAATAGCCATCGTCTCAGTCCCTAACTATATTATATTTTCTTCAAACGAGCACTGCCATTAATGCAACGCCTCAAATGAAGCAAGTCTAAAATTTCCCCAAGTTATGACTTAAATTTCCCGTCTTACTGGGGCTCCTTTTCAATGTAAATTGAGTTACTTTTTTCTCTCAAGTTAATATGTTTTCAGGTGCTACGTTTTAGTCTACTGCATCATTTGATAGGAAATATAACATTATATATTTGTTATATATTTGTAATTTATGTTGTAGTGAGGAAGTGAGTGAGTAAGTAAGGTTGAAATGGGTCGAATCGAGTATCGAGTACTCGCTGGTCAATACTTACTGGCATGTATAAATCTAATGAAGGTTTATTCAACGTTTCGGTGTTTTACCACACACAAGCATCAAGTACTTATGTATAATCATATGTCTGGGGCACTGTATTGTGTTTGTTTGTTGTTTAACGCCTCTCTCAGCAATTTTCCAGCTATATGGCGGTGGTCTGTAAATAATCGAATCTGTAGCAGACAATCCAGTGATCAATATCATTAGCATCGATCTACGCAATTGGGATACGATGACATGTGTCAATCAAGTCAGCGAGCCTGACCACCCGATCCTGTTGGACGCTTCTTACGACAAGCATGGGTTGGTCAAGACCAATTCTAACCCGGATCTTCACGGGTGACTGTATTGTGGATTTAGCGCATCGCAAACTCTTTATTTAAAAAAATCCCCATTCTTCTTCGACAATTAAAAGGCGACGAAGGTCTCTCAACACCACAAACACAGCTTTCTTGTATAGTTAAGTCTTGAAAAACTGACTTCATCAGATGTACCCGGCTGAAGGGCCACAGGGAATGTCTTACTGAGTCAAGGCTGAATTGATACTGCCTACAAGATACTGCCTACTGCCTACAAGATACTGCCTACTGCCTACAAGAGTTGCTTCATGTTCATTTACTAATATATGCGGCAGTCATCAAGACAAATATATGGATAACAACTTCTTTATTTGTTTCTCCCGACGTTTCTGGCTAGTTCTTGTCCCTTCTTCAGGTGGATGAATTTCTTTGAGGATTCTGCTGCTTGATGTAGAATTTTCGAGATGGATGGGATGCAAATCTGGACAGGAGATCTGAGTCTGATTCCATTAGGTACGAAATTGTTCTTTCCCCTTCACCCACCTGAAGACGGGACAGGAACTAACCCAGAAACGTCGGGAGAGACAAATAAAGAAGTTGTTATCCATCTATTTGTCTTGATTACCACACCAACTTCTAAATGCCTTTGAAGAATTGCACCACAGTTGTACTGATATGTTAGGTTATATTTCTACTTCAACAGACGTGTATTTGCAGAGTGGTCGATTATCAAGTCAAGTTAAGAATTGGTTATTGATTGTCTTGGGTTTGTTCACGAAACTCAGTACAGGTAAAAACTCCGTACTCTTTGTGGCTTATTTATGATGTTTTTTGCTTCATTATATTGATACCCGTGAAGATCCGGGGTAGAATAGGTCTTCAGCAACCCATGCTTGCCACAAAAGGCGACTGTGCTTGTCGTAAGAGGCGACTAACGGGATAGGGTGGTCGGGCTCGCTGACTTGGTTGACACATGTCATCGGTTCCTAACTGCGCAGATCGATGCTCATGCTGTTGATCACTGGATTGTCTGGTCCAGACTCGATTATTTACAGACCGCCGCCATATAGCTGGAATATTGCTGAGTGCGGCGTAAAACTAAACTCACTCACTCACTCATTATATTGATCATTATTTAGTATTTACTGTCGGATCATAGGTTTTCGGACGTCACATGTTTCTGTAAGGCAGTGTTTACTGACGCTAAATAACGAGGCGTCACACAGACATTGTAGAACTCAGAATATACCTTGTGTTTCATAGATAAGATGTGTTTTTTTAATAAGATAGTGGCATGTTTTACAATTGTTCATGTGATAATCGAGACACGGATGTTCTATAGCGTCTGAAAACCCGTTGATGATAGATTAAATCCACTTTCGCCAAATTCAAATTCACATTCGACCATAGAACGTCATGATGTCTGCTTACTTATAGATAAATACTAAAACATATAACGAGGTCGTAATTACACATATTCATATGAATAATGTGCCGCTGAACTCGCCAATCGTGTAGCTTGTAATTTGTAACCTCCTTCCTGAAGCTGATTGTCGATGCAGAACTGTCCATCATCTTTGAATGCTTCATCGTGAGATGATTTATCATCGTTTTTGAAAGTGGATTTTTTTTTAAAAAGACAACTGTCTGCAACAAAATCAACATACAACAAATTCAACAAATCATTTGTCATTAGAGACATTTAAACCATAACCACAGTTGTTTGTATCCGACACATCTAACTGGCTCTGACCCGTGAAGATCCGGGTTAGAATATTGATCTTCAGCAACCCATGCTTGTCGTAAGAGGCGACTAACGGGATCGGGTGGTCAGGCTCGCTGACTTGATTGACACATGTCATCGGTTCCCAATTGCGCAGATCGTTGCTCATGATGTTGATCACTCATTCTAATTGGCTCTCACAAGGAAGGTAAGCCACGTACTCCAAGGGAGATAACTCTCGCTATTACTACTCGAGTAGTGGCTGACAAAATCAGTTCGCGGTCGAAATGTTGATCCAACCCACCACGGCTAAGGGACGCAACCCTGCAAAGCGAAATGTGACACAGATGAGTGAGTGAGGTTTTAGCAGTATTCTAGAAATGTCACAGCGGAGAACACCAGAAATGGTCTTCACACGTTGTACCCAGTGGGGAATCGAACTCTGACCTTCGGCGGGACAAACGTACGCTTTAACCACAAAACAAGCCATGAAATGGTAAATGAAACGTATCTGGTGCAATATAACCATGGAACTGGTCCCGTGCTTATATAGAAGATTCGATTCCCGGTCACCTCATAACAAGTTAAAAGATCGTCATCGTCAGTACTTAGAAGACTTGAACTGTATTGACCTGACGTTATCTGTACATTATCTATTTAATGAATTATGCATGTTTATAAACATATTAATACAAGAATATCTCACCTGTACATCTGTACATTATCAATTTAATGAATTATGCATGCTATAAATATATTAATACAAAAATATCTCACCTGTACATCATGTAGGGGCGGTGGGGTAGCCTAATGGTTAAAGCGTTGGCTCGTCACGCCGAAGACCCGGGTTCGAATCCCCACATGGGCACAATGTGTGAAGCCCATTTCTGGTGTCCCCCGCCGTGATGTTGCTCGAATATTGCTAAAAGCGGCGTAAAACCAAACTCAGTCAGTCAGTGTACATCATGTAGCCATATTACTTTAAGCCGTACGTATCACGGCTTGGTATATCTGCAATATTGTAATCTTGGGAACCAATAAAAAAAAAAAAAATTAAAATAAAAAGTTAAAAGATCGTACTTCTGAATGTCTACCGCTCGACATTAAGAGAATAAGTTAAGGATGTTGTCGGAGTCAGTTTGAGAAGAATATTCATGTTATAACTGTGGGCTGGTATCAGAGAGAGATGGCTCCACGAACTGGCATGAGTACACAGTGCACACACAAG